GTCTTTTATTTCCTTGCTCCATTTGCAGGTGTAGTTTTCACTGTAATCAACATGGACTACAACATCATGCTGGGTCAAATTTTCTTTCAATTGCTTAAGATGAGTGAACTGGTGCCAAATGTTATACAAATGAGTAGAGATCCGGGGAAGTTCTGACTTGGTTAGCTCTACAAGTTTTTCAATAGTGGCCACTTTTTTCTCCAGGGTGGTGGTTTTCATGTCAATTTCCGTGGTAGTGCCATTTTGCAGTTTCTTTTTTACTGGTGTTGACCTTGTTGTCCACTCAGTCCAAGATATAATGTTGTTTTTTGTAGTTGGATCCATGTTGACAGGCAAAGTAATATCTTTGCAGGCTTCACATCTACCATACATGCAATCAATGTTTTCCGAATCACAGACAGATGAAGCCACTACATCAGTAATAGATACTGTATGTATCAATCCAAGATGGTGCATTTTTTAATTTTATTTGAAAAATTCTCATGTATTTTGCAGGCACATGTTTCCCTATCAGTGATCTTTGGTCTCACTATCCAGAGGGGCCTCAGCTTAAAAAACTGGGAGCGGGAAACATTGAGGCCTGGGTTCTCTTTAAGAAATCTCTTGTGGAGATTTCCCATGGTGTCTGAGAGGAACATCTTCCTATAAATTTGTCCACCCTTCCTGACTTCCCCAAGTTTACCATTTATTAATGTGGACACATCGTCTCTGTTCAGGAACAGTCTGACATTGTCACTCATCCTTCTTCTTTGGTTTCTCTCACCCTGCTTCTTGCGGTTCTCTCTCCTCTGTTTGGCTCGACTTGCAAGAAGAACTGTGGATCTGTTTTCCTCCATTCGTTTTATTATTTTTTTTCAGGCAATCTAGTTCCTTTTTCTTGTTACTAAGAATTTGTTGTGCCTTCCTCAGTTTTTCTCTTAATTTGGCTGTTTTTTCCCAATTTGGAGTTGATGTTGCAGATGGATTAGAGTTCATGGTCTTTGGTTGGATGAATCTTTTACAAAGTTGTGGTTGAGGCTGAGGGTTGATTTGATTCACACTGTCATCTGAGGGAGGGGTTTCATTTAGTATGTGTTTAACTGTTTGTTTCTTTTTATTATATCGATTAGAATTTTCCCTCCATTTTTTTTCGCTGTTTCTGCAGCTGCCTGGGTGTCAGATCTGCAGCTGTATGTATCTTGTACACAGAGCAGTTTTAAAGTCTTTTATCTGAGTGACAGGAAGCCAGTGCAGAGACCCGAGAACTGGACTGATATGGTTGCATTTCCTGGGTCTGGTCAGAACTCTAGCAGCAGTTTCTTGATGTTCTGCAGCTGTCTTACAGCTCATTTAGAGAGCTCAGTGAGCAGGCCATTAGAGTAGTCCAACTTGCTAGAGACAAATACATGGATTAATCTTTAGGTCTTGTTTTGACACCATTCCCTATTCTGGCAATGTTATTGAGATGGTAAAAGGCTGTGTAATGCAGAAATAGGCAAGTCCAGGAAGCTGGACCAATTCTGGCATATTCGCAAATGGTTAGGGCCTGTAACAGACCAAGATACGTTTAAATTTCCTGTAGACATCTGGGAATCTTTCTCCCAATACAAAATCTCTGAACCAATCCCTCAGTTCCCAATGAGTCAAGAAAAAATTCAGTCTCAAGGTCAATTTATCAATTGGAGTTTTATTTTAAAAATCACTCAAGCAGATCTGTCGGCTGCCTGCACCGCCGTCTGGTTGTCGGCTGCCTGCACCGCC